TTGATCGATGAGATGAGACAACGAAGGATATTGTCAGGAAGGTTTGGCAATTGCCTATTCAAGGTACAAGTCAATTCCTAATGTGTCAAGACATATGATTGCTATGAAGCATTTAAAGAATTGGAATTTGTTGTCCTTTAGAAGTATAAATGGACAAATTGAGGATATTCGTAAATAGCTTCAGAGTGTTCAGTCATCAATACATCAAGATGAGGCGGTTTTATGAGAGCAAGAGCTTTGGAAGCGATTGGATGATCTTCTTCGAAAACAGGAAATGTATTGGGCTCAACGATCCAAACGGCAATGGATGCATTTGGGAGACCGGAATAATAAATTTTTTCATCGCATGGCATCATGGCGAAGGACAAGGAATTATATAAGTTTTGTTCAAGGTACTGAGGGTGGTATTGCCAGAGTTAATTTCGTGCAATCAGAGCGCTTTTTTGACTGGAAGATTAATTTCGGATAATAGATTGTTAGCCCATGAATTGATTGAGCATATCAAGCATAAAAGAATAGGCCGAACTTTGGAATTCGGGTTGAAATTAGATATGAATAAGACCTATGACAGGGTTAACTGGAAATTTCTAATGGTGATTATGCGTAAAATGGGGTTTAGTGACAAGTGGGTTCAATTGATTAATCAATGTGTGTCAACTGTAACTTTTTCTGTACTTATTAATGGCCAACAATCTGAATCATTTGTTCCCAAGGCTAGTCTAAGACAGGGAGATCCACTCTCTCCCTACCCCTTTTTTTGTTGGTGATGCAAGTGTTATCGGATGGTTTTGCTCATCTTAGCACACAAGGGATTTGTCGAGGTATTGCAATTAGTAGAATTCACCTCCTATTTCCCATTTGCTATTTGCAGATGATTGTTTCATTTTTCTGAATTTCAAAATGGAGGAGGTTTGGTGTTTACAGTGGTTCTTGAGGGCTTTTTGTATACAGACAGGACTTCAGATCAATTTTAATAAGTCGGAAATTTATGTTAGTCATAATATGCTGTTTGGTCATAAAGATTTTTTAGTTTTGGTTTTGGGTATTAAGATAGTAGCGAAGCCGGGGATTTATCTTGGTGCCAATTTGGGGTTCTTGGGCAGATCGAACAAGGAGATTTTTAATTGTATTCTGGATAAAGTTCAGGGTAAACTTCAAGGTTGGAAGTGTGGGGTTTTGAATTTTGTAGGGCGGTGTGTGCTTATCAACCATGTGCTACACTCTATTTCAGTTTATTTGATGTATGTGTTTAAAATGCCATTGTCGTTTCTAAGTCGATTCACAGCTATGATTAGGAAATTTCTTTGGTTTTCAGATAGAGAAGGCGGTATTCATTGGAAGCGTTGGAAGCAGGTGTGTTTACCTAAGGGGTGGGGAGGCTTGGGGTTTAGGGACTTACTATGTTTTAATCAGTCCTTACTTGCCAAGCAAGCTTGGAGGGTGCTGACAAGCCCAAATTCTTTGTTGGCTAGAGTTTTACTGGGTAAGTATTGTTTTAACCAGAATTTCCTACGAGTTCAAGAATTTAGGAGGGGCTCTTGGGGCTGGAAAAGTATTTTATGGGGTAGGAAGTTAATGATTTCTGGTTTGCAATGGGTGGTTGGTAATGGTAAGATGATAAATCCTTTTGAGGACCAGTGGGTTCCATCCATTGCTAATCCATTGAAGGGGACAGGGCTTTCGCAACTGTTTCCTACTACGCGTTTGGAGCATTTTATGGACAAGGACAATAATTGTTGTAGTGACCATATTCTTTCTATCTATATTCCGTTTCAAACCCGTGAGGATCAGTTGGTGTGGAGCCCAATAAGGAGTGGGGAATATACAGTGAAATCTGGTTATAAGCAAGCCTTTATACAATATTATCCCTCATGTTGAAGTCAACGGTCTACAAATCTAGTGTGGAAAAAGTTGTGGCTTCTCAAAATTTCTCCTAAATGGACTGTCTTTCTGTGGAAATGCCTTCATTGTATTTTACCAGTGGGAACTAAAGAAGAGAGTTATGATGGTTGATTTGCTTTGTGCTAGATGCCATTTGAGAGAAGAAATGGAAGGTGAGCATGATCTGGATTGGGATAAAATTAGAATCAATTCATTATTTACAGTTCCTGAAAAATTAGAACCAATCCAATCCGTTTAAATCGTAAAACCAATTCGAACCAATTCATTTAAAGACAGATTGGATTGGTTTAGGACCACAGATTCACATAATTAAATAACAAAAAAATATATATATAACATTTTAATTTTATAAAAACATAAATATAACATCACATTAGTTTTACAATAGCAACATGATTTTTCATAATAGCGACATACAGTTCTAGAATTTAAAACCATAAGAAAACCGGTTTCACCATAAGTATTTAGACAATTACAAATTAAAACTAAAAACCAACAAACAAAAGCAATAAAATAAGATATTATGCGGGTTTAGGTTTTATATGGAATAAGAGAAGATACAATGCGGAAGAGTGTATAATATAAATATAGGCTATTTGTATGCGGTCCGGATCGATTTAAATTCGGAACCGATCTATGGACTACGGATTTTTAATTTTTCAATCCGGAACCAAATCAAGGATTCAAAAACCAATTCAAACCTACCAGATTAGACTGCACTGGGTTGGATTATAAATTTCATGGATTTCTAGCTCCACCCTATGAAACATGTGTTTTTTGATTGCCCATTTTCGCAACGAGTGTGGAGGGGTTCATCGTTGGGTCTAGATTTCAGTTTTGAAGATCCAATTTCTTTTCTTATGTGGTTTAAAAATTGGGTGGAGCAAGTTAGAGATGAAGAGATTATTATACAGTCGGTGGCTATACTTTGGGCCATTTGGTTATTTCGCAACAGCTATGTTTTCAATCAAAATGTTCTGTCGAGTGTGGACACAATTGCTATAGCCAATGAGGGCTTTAATATGGCTATGCATTGTAATTTTATTAAATATGGTTCATTGACACATAATTATATTGGTATAGATGCACTGGATGATAATCCTAATGTATGTGTTTTGCAGCAAGAAGTGCAGCCTGTAGCAGTTCTGCAGGGAGGTTGCACAATGGGGACTTTCCTCATTAATGGGTCATGGAGATCAAATGGGTTGATTGCAGGAGCAGCTTGGGTTTGTTTAAATGACGACAATCAACAAATAGCTCAGAGAGCAATGGCAATTCAGTGTTTATCGTCTCCATTAATGGCTGAGGCTACACCATGTTTAGAAGCTATGAAATGAGCAATGGCAATCATCAACGATATGTTCTATTTTAGCAAGTTTTGTCACTTTCTCAGTATTATGAAAGTAGGAAGGAATGTAACTAAAGCAGCTCATGAGTTGGCTACTAATGTAAACTGTTATTATTAATGGTATGTGTTTTCGTTCTCAAAATAAACATGCCATTATTACTAAAAAGATCAATTATTGGATCTAATGTCATATCACCCCATAGAAATGGACTTATCACCAATAAACCCTAACCAAAAATAGTAAATATAGAAATTAACTAACTTCCAAAATTTTCAAAAATAATTTCAGTAAATATTAAACGGCAGATCAAGTCAAGCGTATTATACTCTCTTTAAGAATTTTGTCTCACATTGGTGCTTAAGAATTGGCAAACATCTATTTCTCAAAATAAAATGACATTCGCAAGTTGAAGAAGCACTACAATAAACTTGCCTAACGAACCAAAACCTATGCTTCGCACTCTCAATCAAACACCAAGTATGCAAAATATATGCAGAGAAGGTAACGAAAATTGGAATGAATTGGATTGAAGGAGGGCTGCATTTTTATAGGCAATGAAAAATCTATTAGGAAGAGGTTGAAACTCTTTGAGGATGGTGAAAGTTTTGCAAATAGTGGCTCTGTTTGAACATAACAATCACCTCTGTTTGGAAAGAACAAAGAAAATTTGAAGGAAAAATTTTCCAAAAAAAAAAAAATTAATTAAATAAGTTTTCTATAAAAATACATATATGACATTATTTTTTACAGAAAACTTTGGTGCCACTTCACTTCTTTCCTATGTGGGACAAGAAACACAAACATGAACCATTTCCAAAGAACTCACGTTGGTGTCAATTTCTTATTCACCCGTAAATGGTTTTCACCAAGCAAATACTTATTCTTAATCTCCACATAAAAAGAACAACTTTGCCTTTTGGACCAACCAAAAATATTAAGTGGATTTTAAGCTAATTTGGCTCCAAAGTTAGCCAAACTCATGCTCATAAAACCAATTTTCCAACAGATTTGCATTCATATTGTCCTACACCAGTCACTTCTGTTTCCATACATAATATTGAAGACTTTCAACTCCAATATTCCGTATTAAGAACAATGGCCACCAAATTCAACTAGTATTTCCCTTCAATGCACACAACACAGCTAGAAAAAGAATGGTCTTAAATTCATTTTATGAGCTACAAGTGGTCTTTAGTTTCATCTCTACAAGTGCGTGGTGTGGTGAGGTGTGGTGCTTTCTTCTCTTTCTGATTTTCACAGTAGCTCTTGATAGGATCTTCATAGTTGCATGCCGCTAGTTATCTAGGTACGTGGCTACTTGTGAGCTAATATTTGTCACTTACAGTTTCTTCAACCTCAAGTTGTTGATCAAATTTCTCCCAAAAAATAAAAACAAGTTCTTAACAAAAAACAACCTTCTTAGCAAGTTTCGCGGTCATATGTGATGTCAATTTCCCAGTTAGGTGTCCATATATCCCTACATTTTGAAAAAAGAAAAAGAAAATACAGTAACTATAGAGTAGGTATATGTTTAACATTTCAGTCCGTACCAGAACAAAAAAAAAAAATGGATGCAAACATATGCATACAGATTGAAATTGTATAATGAGATAGTGAAGGGAGTGTAGAGACAAACAGTCCTACTAGAATTGGCAAACCCCAAAGGAAATGTGAGAAACACCAGCAAATAATAAGAGAAATGAAATGTTGACAAACACATTGAAAATCTGTGCACTTCTACATCATAAATACATGCAATGCAAAGAGACCTAATATAAAATCTTCCATTATGAAAAGAGAGCTAATTAACTACAACAAGATCAGTACATAACTGCAACCATACAAACTCATACTTCTAAATATGTTACATTCAAACATATGCATAAATGCTTCACAACTGTATAGAAAAGTTTCTAAATGTGATGCCATGAACTGCGTAATTGTGGAGCTCGTACCTTCATATATATACATATATATAGACACTAAGCCCCCATGGATAAGACCAATTTGTTGCTTTCATTTGATCATCCTCTCTGTGGGAGACCTATTCCCAAAAAGAATATTATTGATATGAAATTTTTTTAAAAATTTCAACTGCAACTTTCCGGCTCCTCATTCAGAAAAGAGAGAAAAAAAGATAGCAATTTCAATGGAGGCACTTAGTACCACCACAAACGATTAACCAAATCACCAACATTACCAAACATACAGCTGCATCAATTGCAAGAACAATCCTTACTTGGCGGCACCACTTCTTTCGCATGTTTTGGTTACCTGACCTAGTCCTCATTAGAGAAGGACCCATATCCTTCGGTACTGATGCATTTCCAGAAACCGCTCCACTCTGGCTATTGGAATCCAGAGTTCCTGTATCAACCTTCACTACTCTATCTGTAGACTTTCGGTGCTCCTCCAACTCAATGTCTCTCATTGCAATCACATGATCCTTCATCATCATCTTCTTCCTGCTCTTCTCGTGCTTGCTAGACTTTCCCAATAAAGGCGCTTTCGTGGAAGCGGCAATTTCAGTTTGACCATTCGCATCATTAGTGGGTGAAGGAGAGAGGCCTGCATGATGATGTGGGAAGGAAGCCTCTGCTGGCCATTCATTACTAGTTTGAGAAACATGCTCTATGGAAGTAATCAAACGATGAATAACTGGCACTAGCTGCTCTTGTATGCAGAGTGAGCTCAGGCTTGACATACTTCTGCTTGAGCCCTTCTTAGCTGCCTTCCTGAATTCATCACGAACACGTTCCAAAAACTGAAGAATCCCTGAGTTACCAATGCCCTCGGCCACAATAGCAAAATAGACATAACCCTCTTCTATGAGAAACCCAAAAGTCTTTTTACCCATTGTCTGAAAATACCATTTGTGATAGGGAGGGACCTTTTCCAAGCACAATGCAGCCATGCTCTCAATTTCATGCTCTCCACCACTATATGCATACAAAATTCGGCCACCCATTGCTTTTGATTTTGATACACAGCAATAATAAACAGTTTTTTCGATCGAACCCATTGAATTTGTCTTTACTACCAAGCCAGCAATCTATCTATCTTAATCTCTAGCTGATCCTAACTTACACCGCCAAGTGACAACAATTCAAGAACACCCTTTTGTTTTGCCACAAAATAAATATGAAATTAATTTGGTCTTAGCATAGCAACTTAGAAGAAACCTAAATTAAATTTGCGGAAACAATCAATCACAGCAAATTTTGAGATGGGATGTGATGTATTTGTTCAAGAATCTAAGCAATCAGGACTTGGCAAAAGAAGAAGCTGCCAACGAATTCTTCAACCATAGAGGCAAAAACCAAACAGAATAGCAGGAATTGGTCAGCAACAAAATCAAATACCTCCGCAAAGTAACAAAACAACCCTTCAGCCAAGTGCTCAAAAGTCAAGAATAAAGTCCCTCATACAGCTCACAGCTTGATTTGGCTGTTCACAATATAAAACTAGTCTCTCACATCAACAGTATAAACCCTATAATTAACTAGGATCCAGGATCTCAGTTGCAATTTTCCAAAACCTATGTAATAATTTCATAATGCAAACAACAAAATTGTATGAGTTTAATGATAATTTGAAACAAAACCCATCAAGTTCATGAATTGTAAAGTTAGATTGATCAAGTCAAGAAATGAAAAACGTAAAGGGATCAAACCAATAATAAGACCAAGTCAAAAAATGAAAAAGTTCTGGTCAAAAACACAACACAACCCAACCCAACCTAACCCAACCCAATAATCAAATCTTTTCTTTGTTTCTTTGTTTTTAAACTTCTGAAGCAATACCTGTAGAACCCTCGAAGTCACAGACGATGAGCAGAGCAGGTGTTTTAGAGAGAGAGAGAGAGAGAGAGAGAGAGAGAGATACAAGAAGAGCAAGGCCAAGTCAAACAGAGATCATTAAGGAGTAGATAGTAACTCGAGTAAAATACAATGAACCAACCACAAAATTACTGAGACTAATCTTATACTAAAGGGATTTTTTTTAGAAGTTAAAAAAATTAAATGAAATTAATTATTTTTAAGGACAATTGAAAAAAAAAAAAGAAAAGGGTTTAGGCGCTGCAGCAAAATAAGCTTTCAATTTTAAATTTTGTAAATTTAAATACTAAATTATTATTTGTCTATTTTTTATTATTATTTAAAATCAATGAAAATTTGATATTTTAGTTATTAAACTCAATAAAAGATATATTTTAGATAATTTATGTACGTACATTGGGTTTAATGGCTAAAATAAAATTTTTCTATTAGTTTTATTTAACAAAAATAGACAAATGATTTAAATTGAAAATAAATAAAAAAATTAAGATTTAAATTGATAAAATTGAAAACTCAAAATTTATTTTGTTAAAAGACTCAATCCCTATTTTTTTTTTTTTTGTAATTTTCCCTTTTTTTTATTAATATAGAAATGGGTGGGTCTATTTCATGTTTACATTTCAACATGAAAGAATTTGAATTCATAAGGCTCACAATTGGATTCTGTTTTGATAATTCGAACCATTTAATTTGCAAGACCCTCAATATATATTATCCATGAAAAAAATTAGATCAATTTGATAACCGTAACATTTTCATTTTATCGTGTTTGTTTCAAAAAAAAAAAAAGTTTATTTTCAAAAAATATATTTGTTGTCCATTTATGCATTAAAATGATAAGGATTACGGTTATTAGATCAAATTATTTTTTTTTATGAATGATATAGATTGAGGGTCTTACGAAATGAATGATTCAGATTAATGAAACAAAATCAGTTGTGGGTCCTATCAACCTGTCAAGTTTTCTTATGTTGAAATATGAATATAAGAGAAGCTTAATGCGAGTTTGGATTTTTCCTAGTTGGTTATGCAACTTGAGTTTGGGCTTGGTAAACCCATTTTTGGAGCACATTTGGTAATTTGAATCGTTTACTTTTTACGATTCACTGAATAGAATATGTAACGCCTCACTACTTGCTGGTCCAAATAACTTGTGGGTCAACCAACAATACCCAAAAACTTAAGTCTAAGTTATTTAGTAGCAAGGTAGTGGTGCTTTATATGCCCAAGATCACCCATGTAAACTTCCGATGTGGGACAAGGTGTTACAAACTCCCCCACTTATAAATCCTCGTGTCCTCGCGAGGGTCTATAATCAATCAAAATACTACGACAAGCTTGTGGCCAGCCCAGAATAAGTGGCCCACATGGTTGTGTGCATAGGTCGACTCTGATACCATTTGTAACGCCCCACTACTTGCTGGCCCAAATAACTTGTGGGTCAACCAACAATACCCAAAAGCTTAAATCCAAGTTATTTAGTAGCAAGGTAGTGGTGCTTTATATGTCCAAGATCACCCATGTAAACTTCTGATGTGGGACATGATGTTACAGAATAGTCATGCAAAAAATCAAGATAAATTACATTTGTATTAAAAAAAATAGATGGCTATTTTAAAATTATATTTATGGTTTACTTTTAAAAATAAATATGATTCAAACATCTAAGTACCGATATTTGATCATCTTATTTTTTGTATGAATATTCTACTTAGCGAGTCTAAGAAAATGAACAATTTAAATAATCAAAATTAGCCTCAAAACGAGTCCACTAAGCCTAATTGTTCTCAAACTTAAGAGAATCCAAAACCATATAGAAAATTAGAAAAGTAATAAAGGGAGCTTCTATTTTCACTTTTTATTTACTCATTGTTCACAGTCTTAATAATATAATTTTTATTACAATTTTGTCCTAAAATGAAATTATAAAAATATCCTTATCTTCTCCATCAAAATCTTAACTTCCTAACCCTAGCCACGACCACTACCACAAACCACCTTCTCTACAATACCTCCATAGTAAAACTTCAATTGCCACGAGCTTTCCACCACCATCTTTAGCACCTTTGTGACCATCACACTTTCTTTTGCCAAAATCATTCACAACCTTTCTCTCTTTACGAAACCCTAGTCGTCGTAATTTCTCTCTATAAAACCCTAGTTACCGCGATCTCTCTCTATCTCGAAACCCTAGTGTAACAATCCCGAACTGTGATTAGCCACTAATCCAAGAGTACCTAATCAGTAATTAAGAAGAAATTCTGAATTAATTGCATGTGTATTGCATTATTTGTGTTTATATCTGTCTGCTGTAGGAATATCTGTTTGTATTTTTGTTTTGTTTTGCGAATTGAAGGCCTTATCGGCATCCGATCACGAAATTGACTTGGTTTAGGTGTTATGTGAATTTTTTAGAATATTATGGTAGGATTAATTGAAATTCGATTCGGAATCAAATAGTTAGAATAATTAATCATAATTAGCTAACCTTAACTCAAATTAATTGAGTTTTTTAATTAGCCTATATAAGGCCTATGTAACACCTTAGAGTGATATCATCTTCGCCTTTTGGACATCAAAAACGTGAGAGAGAGAGAGAGAAAGAGAGAGAGTAGAGCTTGGAAACCAAAGGAGAGGAAGAAGAATTATAGAGAATTCAAGGTGTTGAATTTGGAGACTCAAACATTTGGGCATCTAGAACACAATTAACCTTCTAAGGTAAGAATTTTTAGCTTCTAGTTTTGTAATTTAGTTGGTTAATGCATAGAATCAAGTGAGATAGGTGAATTAACATGAGAATTGAACTAAAAGATGGAATTGAGAATCAATTTATGCATGAATGTGCATATCATGAAGTTTTGGAAGTTGATTTGAAAGTTTTCCTACATGCATGTTCATATCTTGGTCTTGTTATGAGAATTCAACTCCTTTTTGTACTAAACATCTCATTCTACCAAGTTTTGGAATGCTTGAACCCATGACAATTCATGCATGTTATGTTTTGGAAGTTTCAAGTTTGGTTTTGCACAATTGGCATACTTTTGGGCTTTGATTTTGCGAAATAATTTTGAATTCACAATGTTTTCCAAGCTTAGACATGATTTCTTGAGTTTTTGGGCCCAAAAGATGCGTTTTGAAGCTTTACACTTGAGGTTTGCATCTTGAACATCAATTTGGAAATTCCAGAATCTGCATCACTGCTTAAGTGGCAGATTTTGAGCTCGAGCGACCACTCATGGTTTTGCACTTCCGTTCGAGCAAGAAAGAGTTGGCTTGACTGTAAAATTCATGCTTCCAAAAGTTTTGCAAATTTTGCAGATCGCTTGAGCAACAAGAGTTGCGCTCGAGCGAGGACCTTGTCTATTCAATCTTTCGCTCGAGCGACTGTCAACAGAAAAATTCATGCAACCAGTACTTTTGTAGACCTAAGGGCTCACTCGAGCGTAGGAAGTGACGCTTGAGCGAGATGCCTTATTTTTGAAAATTTGACTAAGTATTCTAAGGCATATTTTGGCATCTTCTTTGCATCATAAGCATTCTTAAGCCTTTATTAGGACATAGTAATGAGGATAAAGATTAGAAACACACCTAATTAAGAAAGAAATGAATTAAATGAATTCTGGATGTGTGTTTCAATATGTATCCATTCTATGTTTGTGTAGGTCACATGCCATAAATCGCCTGATCCGTCTACTATATCTGTTTTGCTATTAAAGCCATCTGTGAGTAATAACTTTGTAAAGTTATATTCACGTTTAAGTATTTTCCTATATGATATGACAATAAATGATCTATTTTCTGAAATGCTATGTTTTGTAACAATGAATGATTGTCCATGTATTGAAAAGTATTCGTGGCATCCTTAGCACATGGTCGTTACCCGGGGTTAACAATATTGTGGTCTATGAGCACAAAGCTCTCGTCCGGGAGTAATAATATTGTGGTCTCATGGCCCTCGCTCGGGGGTAAAAATACCGTGGCTTAAATATGTTATATGTTCCCGGTACCGGAAGTTCTTTTATGGAACTGGTCAAGTATGACCCTTAATGCCCTGCATTTGATCTGTTAGCGCTAATGGATATACCACGTATGATCATCTGTGAAATTGAATAAGTACTTACTTCTGAACTATAAATAAGAATATGAATTTGTTTCTAAACCGAATTCTGCTTTCCGAATCTGACATGGGACATCATTCATTAAATCCTTTACTCTGTTATTATTCACTGGGCTTTCGCTCGCTATTTATATTATGTATGTAGGTGATCAGGAGCGTAACTAGGCTCAGTGATAGCTTCCTAGAAGTTTGTTGTCAGCCAACCTTTGCGCCTCCCCAAGAGGTTCCCGTTTTAAGAAGTCAAGTTTTTGTGGACCATGTTAAGGATCTGTTTTGTTTTTGTTATCTGTACACTGAGCTAGGTCCCTTTTGATAATATCTGTATGGTGATGCATGACTTATGAAATTTTGACGTCATATGTATATATTTAAGTTTTAAATATTCTGTCTCATGTACGTCAGCACAGCTTTATGGGCATTGTATGTTTTATATATTTGCTCCCACTAGCCCTTTATATTTTGTTATTTTATTCAGAGGCCTTTGGTAATTCTAGGATTACTGGCCGATCACGATGATAAACCTATAGGGGCGGGTTTGGGTCATGACATCTAGTCAAGCAATCATCTTTCTCTTTCTTTTTATGAATCTCTTTAGTTGCCAAATTATAGAGAGAGTTGGGTGGTGTGTTGCAAGTTATAGAGTTGAAAGAGGTGAAGATTGTGGGGGAAGGTGTTAAAAAAGGCTAGGTAAAGGAGGGTGGGGGATGGTTAAGGATGGCTATCGAAGATGGTGGTAACAACAGTTGGAGGTGGGGTGCGCGGGCAGTCTCAAAATTGTGGCCGGAGTTCATGGCAAGTGGTGGCTAGAGTTAAGTTAGGTTTGACGGTTGAAGAAGTTAGGAGTATCTTTGACAAGAAAGTATGTGCATCAAGTAAAACTCGATGTTTCAAAATCATTAAGTTTGTGCTTTGAGAAGAAATGTGTATTAAGAGAGTTTGGTGTAGGAAAATAGAAACTCTCAACATTGAATATTTGATTGACAAAAATAATTTTT